GAAGAAATTAATATTGTCCAGAGAATCATTCCATACGAAACCATTATAATCTCACCCGTTTGATGTTTCGAATACGATCTATAAGGCCACCGGGATTTCGATTTTTTTAAAATACGCTATAGTGTCATGTTAGGTGTCAACTCCTATGTAATTTTGGTCGTATATTTCAGATATGAAGTTAAAAAAGTCCCCCGGCCAAAGGGGGTACCCCAAATCCAAGATGGCAGCCAATTTTGAAAGACAAGAGGGTGAATTTTTAAAATGTTCGCGTGATAAGGCAAGTGAGGTATCATTTCCTATGTAATTTTGGTCGTAGATTTCATTTATGAAGTCATAAAAGCCCTCCAGTCAAAGGGATTGCTGCGAATGCCAAGATGGCGGCCAAATTTGAAAGGCAGGAGGGTGAATTTTTGAAATGTTTACGTGAAATCCATAGTAAAAGTGAATCAGCCTGACGTCAGGCTATGTTTCATAAACTACCCTGAGTCAGACTGATGTCAGCCTGAATTATTGTCTGAATAATTGAAATATTCGCCTAGTGTAGCTATTGAAAATATCTCCAGCGCCAGCTTTCCCATTTACATTAGGACTCTAGGTACTTTATGGTGTATTACCACAAAATGAGGAACAAGCATGCAAGGGCTCCACTTGTCCTCGTACTTACAGCTGTTTGCAAAATAATATGAGCAACTTTTGTCGGACGATAAAATTTCAAAGCAAGCAAATCATGTTGATCTTCATTCACAGTTGTTAAGTAGAATCCATGCATGACCACAACAAATAAGTTTGTGCATTTATAGACCGCGACAGAAGATCATCTGACATAAATTTAACATTACAGGAAGCAAGATGGACATGGAGGATCTTCTGTTGCAGTCCAAAAGTGTGTTAACTCACATAACGTCAATTTCACAGCAAGTTACAAAAACCGCTAGAAGATGACATGTGAGAATTGTCACATCTCTTATCGCATACATCCACTGAAAACTGACGAAAATGCTTCTTACAGCTGACCATGTATGAAATCTTACAAATTTGTTTAACATAGGAAAAAAAATATACACATTTAACAAAACCAGCAGCCTGATTGTTGAAATTTTTTGTTTGTCGAGACGACATAGATGACATAGGTTAAAAGGTGGAGCGTGATTGGTCGGCTAAGTCTTATCACTGCTTTGTCGTGCCTTTGTCAGATGGAATGGACGACATATACTGTCGGAAACTTAAGAGGTGCCGTTAGCTTGTCGTGAGTTCAACCCGACATAGGCACGACAAAGCAGCGATAAGACATAGCCAACCAATCACACTCCGCCTTTTAACCTATGTCATCTATGTCGTCCCGACAAACAAAAAATTTCAACAATCAGGCTGCTGGTAGACTATGCCTAGTGGTGTCAGAAAGGCGCTTTAGAAGCGCAACATTTGTCGTGTCTTTGAAATGAAGAAAAGTGTTTTACCTTACAAGGCCACCTCCCCTTGATTCGTGATGAACTATAGAACGTCGGTTTTTGTGTTGATGAACTTGAACTTCAACATGACATGAGTCACGGACAATCCAATCGTGAGTTAATTGCAAAGCGCAATTCAGCATCAGTATGACGAAGATGACTGAACTGCTATTTTGGTATCTTCCTTTAAGGTGAATCTCTAGCGATTTAGGGACAGAAACCGCCACCACGTCGCGCTGCTACGTGAGCGAGTCTTTGAGAGTGAATAATTAACTAAGACTTGAAATTCATGCAAAAAATCGACCGAATACGCGTAGCAGCATACATTCTGAGTAGAATGATACCAAATTTGTGGGTATTATTTGCAAAAATATACCCGAATTTATGCAGACCGATTTCTTTATGGGCGGCTCAATGTGTAAGAGAGAGATAGCATGCTGTGACGTTTGTTTACATCTGGTCGCTTCCCTCCCCCCCCTTGAGGAAAGTAAGGAAGTTCGGCCGGCGATGGATGAAATTCCTTTCCTAGCCATTCCTAGCCTCGGAGACCTGAGATCGGGTTCTGCTGTTATCAAAGTGTGTTCAATGTGAGGTTAGATGATTTGTATTTGAACGAAGATTTTATCGAAAAGAAAACAATTTCATCAGAGTGCTGAAGTGTTGTGGGAATATTTTACAGTCGTGAATCTGGGGTGAATTTGAATTACCTACTTTGTACTTTTATTCATCCAGCTAAATAATTGTGCAACATCTAAGGATTTCCTCTCAAGGAACTGTACCCACAAATGATGGAAACATGACATGCACAGGTATGTAATATCCTGAACTCGTAAATATTTCACAAGTTTTACTTACTTAGAACTGAATCTGCAGCAGATGTTAAAGGATAGCATGAAGATTTTTTTTCCAGCATCAATGATTGGAACTTCTTGCCGAAATCCATGCAGCAATGATTAAAACTTCAATCCTGCTGAACCAGTTTGGCATTGTATACTGCCAACAGCTATTTACTCTTTTTCAAGCTCTATTTGCATCCCTAAGATTTATCCATGCAGAGTTATACCCATTCACACGGTTGCGATTCAGGGCGATTTATTGAGTAGATAAGCAAGTTTTCCGGATTATACTTTTGTAGGTAGAGAAATTAAAAGTAATAATCGACTCTCATAGTTGGACTTGTGAAAAGTTCAATCAGGGATGACTGTTTTAGAACTAGGGAAAGAAAAGAAGCAACAAATGTCATATCAACCTGGGTGCATTATTCATCAGCGGTCCCATATCTGCAATGGTTAACCTTTACATTTATGTTGAATGGTGCTATCATTTGATGTGACGTTTGTTCATTCTCTTCTTTTGCCGGTTCTAAAGATAGGATTTTTGCCAATGTTAGGCCCCTTTGAGTGCCCTCTCACCTTCAAAATTCCTTTTCGACTGAACAGCTAGAATGCAACTGCTTCTTAGACGAATTGTGTGCCTTTTCAAGCAAGTTTGGAAAGCAGCAAGAGTCTTTGAGCCTTGGTGACTTTAGGCTAGGTGAAAAACTTATGACTGTTGTTAACATGAACCGATGCATTATTTGAATGTCAAATGAGACTAAGTGAATTAGGTCTCCTCGAACCACATTTTTGTAGAATGTCTCCAAGTTGCTACAGGCAACAATCTATTTCTTTCATATCCTTGATTCATAGTTCTTATTTTTCATATTACACAGTTTCTGGTCTCTTCTTTCTAGGATTGTGGATACCAGCCTACTAATGCTTCTCAGGTCTTGCTGGAAGGATGCCTTTTCTTTTCGGATTCCCAAACAAGATCAATTCTCTGGCTGAGATGTAACACTTTAACAATTTGCTACATTTATGTAACATGTCTAAAAAGCTCTACATCAACTAGATGATAAGTATTACTTTAGTACACTCCTGTATTTAAATTCAAATAATACAAAATATTCTTTCATCGTACCTGCTGCATTACTTTGTATACGGTCCCTCTCATTCTAAAGAAAAAAAAATCCGAAACCTTCACTCCTGCCTCTTGCAGAAGTCATTAACTACCTATAAATAAAATATTTTACTCCAACAATGAGCTTTAGTAAAAATATTTACTCTCTCAAACTGTAATTCTGAGAGACTGCTTGAAATGTTGCAAACAGGGGTGCAAAATCTTCCACACATTCACATTTCAGAGGGTAGTCTACCCCCCCCCCCCCCAAAAAAAAAATTGTTAAGTTTTTAAGCTTTTGGCTTGAAACTTTGGCATAAGGTGGGTAGTAACCTCAAACTATGATTCCCCCCAATAAAATTTGGGGGGGTGGGGGCACTCCTTCCCCTTAAAACCACAAAAGATTGAAAAAATAGGGTCATTTTGTGACAGAGATTTCTCAAGACTAGATGAATGAATTTCAATATTCTTTGGCTCATTATGTGTCTAAGTATGTTTATTACAAAGTGTCCAAAGGATTTTTTGTTTCATGAATGGAAGTTTGTTATAAAGAAAGATTTCTAATTTTTTTATATTATTTTTAATCATCTGAGCTTATTCATAATTTTTGAAAATGAAAAAGAAAGAATATTGAAATGTTTTTCTGACATGTTGTAGCCTGAATCATGAGTTTTTCTTTTTACAAAAAAAGAAGTATATAGCTATTGTAGAACCCGAAATATCTCCCACAAGGCTCGTGAAAGCCTAAAAAAAAGGTGATGATCTGATCACTTTTTCCTGTTTTCCAGACAAAGTATACTGTTGAAATGCACCAAAAAAAAAAAGAAAAAAAAAAAAATGAGATGGTTTGGGTAGACTACCCCCTTAACACTTGCCCTCCGGCTTTCCATAAAATTTCCCACCGATTGCTAAATGACAATTTTTTTTTCTTAGATATGACCTTTGACTTTAAACTTTTAAAGTTTAAAATTTTTCCTCTTCCCGCCTGCACTTGCTCGGGCATTTTCAACTCCTGGTCGCAAAGTCTCAACAAATCTTCATTCAATTCAGCCAAAATAAAAAAATTCCACTATCAAAAGTAATTTGAACATTAATATCTGTACATGTATCAAAGCTATTTAAAGATGAGTTCACAACATTTAAACCTGAAACTGAAGGCCTCAAACGCCTTTGTAATAAATAATATGCAAGTAAATTACCTATCCTATTTTTAGGGGAATTTGTCAGGGGAGCCTCTTTTAACTATAGTGAGAATTCTTAAAAATATCCAGATTTTTTCCAGTTTCATTCAGCTCAAATGCATACTCTCACCTGAATAAGATGCAAAATCCTCAAGCATAAGATTTTTCAAAAGCTTTCAAGATTTTGCACATTGCTTGAGTATCTGCTGAGAAATTTTTCGTTCCTTTTTCTACTACTCTAGGAAAATATGGAGAGCAAGTTTTCTTCAACGATTTTTTTACAGCTTCTTGGTTACTTTTTGGAGGGAAAACTTCCAGTTGTAGAAAAACGAACGGCAACCACAGATTTATGAAAGATGGTCTCAAGGCTGTCCATTGGGATCAATGAGCAAAACAGATTAAGTTAGTGAAGAACCTTTGCCGACAATCATAGGAAGGGCCCTGTAGATGTTAGCAGCTTCAGTATAGGCACGAGGCTTGTTAGCTGCAGTCCTGTGGTGCGACATTTTAGAGGGTGATGCAGACCACTCGGTACAGACTTTTTTCCCCCGATCTAGTCATTAAATTATTTTTGGCGAAAAAAAGTAAAAAATACTTTAGGCAATTAGAAAACAGTGGAATTGGATGAAAAATGTAAATTAATAAAAAGTCAAGTTTTACATGCATGAGTAGATTTTCTTCTCTCAGAGCGAAAAATTCTGCAAGACTTCTCCAAAGAAAGAGAAAAATAATTGATCTTCAAGTTTACATATTTACTACATTCAAAACATCATTGTCAATCAGGGTGTGGATTTTAGATGTTTGGCACTCTACCAATTTGCACATTTTTCAAAGAGGAAAAGAAAGCCTTTCCTTGACACCTGAAATAGTTGCGGTGCGCTTCATGACAATGTACACACAAATAAATGCTGGTAAAACAAAATAAAAATGTAAGTACATCATTTAGACTTAAGGAGCCAACAAACTCAGAAAAAAATGCAATATTTATTCAATTTCAAGGGCACTTTTGCATTTTACATAATCTGTTATTTTGCTATTTGTAAAGATTAGTACATTACCCTGAACACAAAGGCTCAATACAAGTCACATTAGAAAAAGTTACAAAAAAGAGTTCTCTTACAAATTTAAAAACTCTTGCAAGGTGTAGAGAGGGTTTTGTAAAAAGTATTCTTTTAATACTTTAATGAACAAATTTGGGGACTCAGCTGTTGATGGTTACTTGTGGCAAAATTGGATGC